TTTTTAAAAAGACAGGATCTTGTTCTGTCACCCAGTCTGGTGCGCAGAGGTGCAATCTTGGTTCACTGCGGTCTCGACTTCCTGGGCTCAAGCGATCCTCCCGCCTCAGCCTCCCAAGTAGCTAGGACTACAGGCACATGCCACCGCACCTAGTTAATCTAAAAAATTTTTTTAGTAGAGACAAAGCCTCACTATGTTGCCCAGGCTGGTTTAAAACTCCTGGGCTCAAGTGGTTGTCCTGCCTTGGCTTTCCAAAGTGCTGAGATTACAGGTGTGAGTCACCATGCCTGGACAGTACTGTTTTTTAATTGATATAGTTGTACAGATTTTTGGGGTAATGATCAAATTAGGGTAATTACATATCCATCACCTTAAACATTTATCTTTTCCTTGTGTTGGGAACACTGTTATTCTTCTCCTCTTGCTATTTTGAAATACACAAATAATTACTGTTAATGATAGTTTTCCCACTGTGCTCTCGAATGCAAGAACTTATTCATCCTACCTACCTGTGCTTTTGTACCCAGTAGCCCATTTCTCTTCATGTCTTCTCCCTGCTTCCCTTCCCTGCCTCTGGTAATTACCATTCCAGTCTGTCTTCACCAGATCTACTTTTTTAGCTTCCACATAGTGAGCGAGATCATGTGATGTTTGTCTTTCTGTGGCTGGCTTATTTTACTTAATATAATGTCATCTGAGCTCATCCATGTTGCTGCAAATGACACAATTTTGTTCTTTATTATGGCTGAATAGTATTCTATTGTGCATATATACCATAGTTTCTTTATGCATTCATCTGTTGATGGACACTTAGGTTGATTCTGTATCTTGGCTATTGTGAATAGTGCGGCAATTAACATGGCAGTGTCGATGTCTCTTTGATATATTGATTTCCTTTATTTTGCATATATACCTAGGAGTGGGATTACTTGATTATCTGGTAGCTCTGTTTTTAATTTCTTTTTTCTTTCTTTTCTTTTCTTCCTTTTTTTTTTTTTTTTTTTTTTTGAGACAGAGTCTCGCTCTGTCTCCCAGGCTGGAGTGCAGTGGAACGATCTCAGCTGACTGCAACCTCCATCTCCCAGGTTCAAGCAATTTTCCTGCCTCAGCCTCCCAAGTAGCTGGGATTACAAGCACCCACCACCACACCTGGCTAATTTTTGTATTTTTAGTAGAGACGGGGTTTCACCATGTTGGCCAGGCTGGTCTTGAACTCCCGCCCTCAAGTGATCTGCCCACCTCAGACTCCCTAAGTGTGGGATTACAGGCATGAGCCACCGTGCCCAACCTGTTTTTAATTTCTTTAGGAATCTCCATACTGTTTTCCATAATGGCTGCACCATTCTATTTTCCACCAACAAAGGTTTCCTTTTCTTCACACCCTCACCAGCGCTTATCTCCTATCTTTTTGATAATAGCCATCCCAACAGGTGTGGGGTGATATCTCATTGACATCAAAATGAGTATTGATAACAAAACTAAAATTTTTGGAAAGATATTAGGGTAGGGGTTGTCAAACCTTCCCTGTAAGGGGCCAAATAGTAAATAATTTCAGCTTTGTGGGCTATATGTTGTCTGTTCTAACTACTCAACTCTACCATTGTAGGGTGAAGGCAGCCGTAGCCAGTATGTAAGTGAATAAACATTCCTGTGTGCCAGCAAAGCTTTGTTGATAAAAACAAACTGCAGGCTGGATCAGGTGAGTGAGACATAGTTTTCTGACCCTCATATTCGGAGACTCCCAGAATCATTGGGTGTTTGGATCGCAGGTTGGCACATAAGTGAGTGTATAGAACTCAGTGCATGCATCTCCCCAAATCTCTTGGCCCTTCAAACCCACCTCTACGTTGGCCACTTGGTTTGCCATTTCCGTGGATAAAGCCCCAGTTACTGCCATGGCTAGATCCCTGGGTGTACCACATAAGATGACCATAGACAATTTACTCCCTAAGGTGGAGGTTCAGATGGATCAGGAATGATGTACTCATGCCAATAGACAGGTGTCAGCTACCTGAGTGCTCAGAGGAAAAAGACTTTGAGGTTACACTTGATTTCATTAGGAAAAATAGACGTGATTGATTAGTCATGTCTGCCATGGGCACCAGGCTAGAGAGAAGTGGCACACTTGCTAAATGTCTTTGATGCTGTAACTCGTCCACCTCCAATGTCCCTTATAGTTCTGAAAAGCGACATTTCTGTGTCCGCATACTTCCTTGGAAACATTCTGGAGATGGAACAATTATGTAAAAGATAGTCATTCAGCATGAAAATGTGACCGGTAACTTTACAAATTCCCAACACATCTGTTTTTATGAAAGAGACAGGAACTTGGTGTGGTGGGTCACATCTGTAATCTCAGCACTTTGGGAGGCCAAGGCAACAGAATTGCTTGAGACCAGAAGCGTGAGACCAGCCTCAGCAACATAGTGAGACCCCATCTCTACAAAAAAATAAGAAAATTAGCCAGATGTGGTGGTGCGCACCTATAGTCCCAGCTAGATGAGAGGCTGAGGTGGGAAGATTGCTTGAGCCCAGGAGGTAGAGGGTGCAGTGCGCTATGATGGCGCCACTGTACTCCAGCCTGGGTGGCAGAGCAAGATCTCGTCTCTCAAAGAAAAAAAAGGAAAGTAGACACAGGATGAAGCTCCTGATTCTCCATTCGTGTTAGACACACCTGGGAGGAAGCCGGCCGCTGGGAAAAAAGAAAGTAAATCCATAACCCCTTCCCGTATCAGCCTCACGGTTTCAGCACAGAACAAAGATTTCAACACTTTCTTTCAAAGTTTGACAACTGTTTATTGAACACTCATTATGCAGATCAAGGGCTTGTTCCTTGCCCTCCAGAAGTGGTCATTTCCAGCATATAATCCTGGGTGAGAGGGCAGGACCAATCAGAAAAAAGAGAGGAAATGGCTTTCTGAAAAAAGTAGGGGTGGGATGTAGTGGAAGAGGGGTAAAGAGAGAGAGAGGGCCCTCCAGTTTGTGGGAAATGGTGATAGCAAAGGCTTAGAGGCAAGGGTGAGTAAGAGGACATTAGCCTTGTAGAAAGAGTGACGTCATGGTGGAAGAGATGGGAGATGAGTTTAGCTAAGTGCTGGTAGATGGCAAAATTGGAAGGGTGTGAGAGATCCTGATGTGTGGTTTGACTTTGGTCTTTATTTGATTGATTTATTTATTTTGGAGACCGGATCTCACTCTCTCACCCAGAGCTGGGATGCAGCGGCATGATCATAGCTCCTTGCAGCCTCAAACTCCTGGACTCAAGTGATCCTCTCACCTCAGCCTCCTGAGTAGCTGGGACTACAGGCATGTGGCACCATACCCAGCTAATTATTATTATTACTTTTGGTAGAGATGGGGTCTTGCTGTATTGCCCAGGCTGGTCTCTTAAATCCTGGCCTCAAGTGATCCTCCCACTTTAGACTCTCAAAGTTGGGATTACAGGTGTGAGACACTGAGTCCAGTACCCTGGTCTTTAAATCATAGGGTATGTTGTGTCTTCTTGAGTGTTCCAGGGAGATGACTGTTATAGATGGTATGAAGGACACATGAAAAGTGAGATGGAAAAGCAGAGAGGCAAGGGAGGAAGTTGGTTGCAAAGATGCAGATACGAGAAGATGAGGACTCGAGCCTGCACAGTAACACGTCAGGGAAGAGAAGACCAGCATGAAAGTTGTTTGAAAATCAAGCTGGACTGGTCATGGTGTCTGGTGGCATATGAAGGATGCAGAAAGAGAGGGGTCATAGATTAACTGCAGAAATCGAACCTGGGATCTGAGGTTGAGGATACCAGGGAACGCTTGGAGGAGTAACCAGGAAGAAAGGGTTCATCCTTAGCCCTGAGTTTTCAGTGATGCTGGATGTACCCATAGTTTATTTGAGCAGGAAAGGTCAAAGCTGGGGATGGGGAGATACAGGCTGTAGAGTTGGAGGACAGTGAAGCCGATCTGACTTCCAGCCTGGTGCTGCAAGGTTACCTGGAGGTAACCTTGGCTGGTGGTTATTGAGAATTCCTAGAAATTTCCAGAAAGCTCCTACCTTGGAGGTAGGGAAAATTTTTATTAGGCATCTTCACTAATTAGAAAAGTTTTCAGATGGATCAAGACTTAGCAGGTTGTGGAAAGGAGGCTGGGCTGGAAGTCAAACCTCGTCCTTGCCTCTGTCTTACTGTATTGCATTTGACAAATTATTTAGCCTCTCTGGTTAGGAGAGGTTAAATATAATGCTGTCTGCAAAATAGCAAGCTGACAACAGGGAATTTGCCATAGCTCCAACACGCTCTCATTCAGAGTAGTTGAATGCAAGAATAGTTGAATGGGTGGATTTCATTGGAGAGAGGGCAGAATCCAGGGTTTCAGGGGGAGGGGTGTTAGGAGGAAGAGATCCAGAAAGGCGGAGACAACTTCGTTATCTAGAGAGGCCATGAGCTAGGAAGAGAGTGGAGTTAGGACACCAACTTGCTAGCCAAGGAGGAATGGTTTTGGAGAGAAAGAATGGTTCTTGCCTTACTAATTCTCTAGGGTAAAGGAGGGAACTGGAAGTTGGGAATGCACTGGCCTCAGGAGGAGGTTTTATCTCCAAGTGAGATGCAGGAGCCAGCAGAGGTTGGACTGGGGTAGGAGGGATTGAGTGGGCATTGGTTTGTCCGTGGAAAATCTTCAACGCTATCCAGTTTCTGCTTTGGGAGGAAGAAAGAAGACCACAGGAACAGAAAGTGGGATAAGTGAATGCACTCTTAGGTCTCTTAGGTTGCATTAATAAAGATAGAAAGTCCAGCCTGAGGGAGGTGATGTTAATGTTACCACTATGCCTTGTGCTAAGTTCTGGCTGGCTTGCTCTAAGAAGGACAGGGGGACCTGCATGAGGGGTGTGATGAAAAAGAAACTGGGTGCCATTTAGCCTTAGGAAGAGAAGATCTTAGGGAGTGGTAAGAGCTGCCTCTAAATTTCGGTGAGACAGAAAGAGTGCTGGAAGGAAAGCTCCTCCCTGTCTTTCTACTTCTACTGCAGATACAGCCGTTTCCGGAGGGTGCTTTGGATTTCAGGGTTCGTTTTCTTTGCTTGTCCTTCCTGAACCATCTCTGCTTCTGCCATCCGCCGGGTCACCTGCAGCAACAGGTATGGTGAGCTTGGAGGAGTCAGTGTCATGGACTTATGGGGGGAGGGTTAGGGAACGGGGCAGGTGGGTATTCTTCATAAGAGACCTTTATGGTCTGCTCCTATACCATAGTTTGTATGGAATCCTTGGCTGGGCTTTTTTTTTTTTTTCTTCTAATTTTCAATAAAAACATACAAACATTAGAAGAGAACAGTTTTCCCAAACATTGTTTATATCCAAGGGGGGTTTGTTTATAGAAATTTATCTCACATACTGTGGGTTTTAAGAGTCCCTGCATTTGGGAAAGTTGTTGGAAAGTGGGCATCTTAGTTTCTGTATTGAGATCTGGGTTGGATTTGGGGCTGAGGGAAATGGAGAGGGGTTAGGAGGAGGCTCAGCCTCCTCTGCCTGCACCCTACTTGGCCTGGGTGGTGGTCCCAGCTACCTTGTGTCAACGCACCTCTGTCAGGAGCTCCAAGATATGTCCTTTGCCCTTCGTGAACACATCCACCAGGGTCTGGATAAAGCACGAGCCTTTCTGATCATGTCGGTAGGCGATGTATCCTGGGAATTCCAGAGAGGTGAGTTCGGGGGAGCTTCAGAGGGTAGGTAGAGGAGATCCTGGAAGGGGGTGGGTCCTGGAGGAGAGGTTCAGGGGTCGGGAGTGGCAGGTGACGGGGAATAGCAGAGGGAGCCCGGGGCCAGCTGGGCGCTCATACCCTCCACCGTGGAGTAGACGTGCAGGGCATCTGTGTACGTTGGGATGGTTTGGGGGCTGTCTTTGGTGACCATCACAATCTCATCTCCACCTACTGTTTCACCAGGATCCTTTTGTTCTGAAACAAGAAGAGGAGGAGGCAAAGTCAGAGAGAAAGGTAAGGAAAGGGGCCGGGCAGGGTGGCTCACACCTGTACTCCCAGCATTTTGGGAGGCTGAGGCAGGAGGATCACTTGAACCTGGGAGTTTGAGGCTGCAGTGAGCCATGATTGCACCACTACACTCTAGCCTGGGTGACAGAGTGACATGTCGCCTCTTAAAAAGGAAGGTAAGGGCGGGTACGGTGGCTCACGCCTGTAATCCCAGCACTTTGGGAGGCTCCTGAGGTCAAGAGTTTGAGACCAGCCTGACTAACATGGCGAAATCCCATCTCTACTAAAAATACAAAATTTAGCCGGGCATGGTGGCATGTGCCTGTAATCCCAGCTACTTGGGAGGCTGAGGCAGAAGAATTGCTTGACCCCAGGAGGTGGAGGTTGCAGTGAGCCAAGATCGTGCCATTGCACTCCAGCCTGGGCAACAGAGCAAGACTCTTGTCAAAAAAAAAAAAAAAAAAAAAAAAAAAAGATGGTCTGGTGGTATGCCATGTGCAGTGGGGCTTTTTAATTTAATTTAACTTTTTAGAGACAGGGGCTTGCTTTGTTGTCCAGATTGGAGTGCAATAGTGTAATCATAGCTCACTGCAGCCTCTAACTCCTGGGCTCAAGTGATCCTCCTACCTCAGCCTCCTGAGTAGCTAGGATCACAGACCCATGCCACCATGCCCTTGGCTAATTTTAAAAATTTTTTGTAGAGCTGGATTCTTGCTACATTGCCCAGAAGCCAGTCTTGATCTTCTGGCCTCAAAAAATCTTGCCGTCTGGGCCTCCCAAAGTACTGGAATTACAGGCATGAGCCATGGTGCCTGGCTTCAGCTGGGGCTTTGGATCTGGGACTGGCTTGGATAAAAACACAGACTTGGTTGGGCATGGTGGGAGGCTGAGGCAGGAGGATTGCTTGAGCTCAGGAGTTTGAGACCAGCCTGGGCAACATAATGAGACCCTGTCTACAAAAATTAGCCTGACATAATGGCAGGAGCCTGTAGTCCCAGCTATTCAGGAGGCTGAGGCAGGAGGATGGCTGGAGCCTGGGAGATGGAGATTGCAGTGAGTTGAGATTGCACCACTGCACTCCAGCCTGGGTGCTGTCTTAGAAAACAAAACAGAAACAACAAACCAGAGACTCTGTGCTCTTGGATCTGTCCCCACCTCCTCGACAGGCCTGTATGATGTACACCTTGGGCTTGGCTCGCAGGGCCTGGCAGTTCTTGTTGTTCAGGGCCTCGAAGAGATTGTCCAGCTTGACCATCTCCCCATCTTCTCCCTTGAGGAAGCCTTCCCTCCCGTGAGCCATGAGAACCACGAAGGCACAACTGATGGGATCTTCCCGGGAATCGATGGCCTGCTGGAATTTTTCCAGCTCTTCCTGGAATTGCTGGAGTGAGAGGAAGAACCAGACTCAGCTGGGTCCTCATAGCCCACACATCCGACCTAGTACCTCTCCCCCAACCAGGCCTGGAGTAGGCACCCCAATACCTGGGCAGTGGGGTCTCTTTTCATGGTGCTTTCGAATCTCAGCTGCCGAAACATGTATTCCAGAGCATCCAGGTCTTCTTCGAAACCTTCCCGGCTTTGGTGACACACAGTGTTAGGGCCAGGCGGGCACCTGACATATCATATTTCTCCTGGGCCAAGAGATGACAAAAATCAGCATGGGGAGGTTCGAGGAGAAGCGGATGTAGTCAAAAGACGCATGCAGGCTGGGTGTGGTGGCTTATGCCTGTGATCCCAGCACTTTGGGAGGCTGAGGCGGGAGGATTGCTTGAGCCCAGGAGTTCAAGACCAGCCTGGGCAACATAGTGAGACTCTGTCTCTACAAAAAAATGAAAAAATTAGCTGGGTGTGCTGCTGTGCGCCTGTGGTCCCAGCTGTCTTGGAGGCTGAAGTGGGATGATTGCTGGAGCCTGGAAGGTTGAGGCTGCAGTGAGCCATGATCTTGCCACTGCATTCTAGCCTGGGCAACAAGTGAGACCCTGTCTCAAAAACGAACAAACAAAACAAGAGAGGCTTGGACTTAGGGTTGCCAGGTATAATACAAAATGCTCAGGTGCATTTAAATTTCAAATAAAAACCAAGTACCTTTTTAGTATAAGTATGTCCCAAATATTGCATGGGATATACTTATACTACACAATTATTTGTTGTTGATGTGAAATTCAAATTGAATTGGGTATCCTTTATTTTTAGTTCCCAAATACAGCAACCCAACCTGGGGTCCAGCTCTGTTCTAGCTTGATATGAACTTGGGGGAAGTCAACTGCCCCCATCTGAGCCTCAGTTTCCAAATACAGACGATGAGTGTGTGTGTGATTTTGAAGATCCCTCCCAGTTGTCATATTTTGTGGCTTTGCAAGTCTCCTCATCCTCCCCAAGAGTGTTCTGAGCATTCCTCTATTACTTCCTCACTTGCAGAGGTCTCAGAGTTTCGGAAGCCAATACTGAGATCCCATCTGAGGAAGAAGAATATTGGGGGTCAACATTTCTTTTCAGAACAGAAGCAGGGTACTGAGGACCACAGTGATAAGAACTTCATCTTTTAAAACATCAACATAAGCACTTTGGGAGGCCAAGGTGGGCGGATCATGAGGTCAGGAGATCAAGACCATCCTGGCTAACACTGTGAAACCCCGTCTCTACTAAAAACACAAAAAGTTAGCTGGGCATGGTGGTGGGCGCCTGTAGTCCCAGCTACTTGGGAGGCTGAGGCAGGAGAATGGTGTGAACCCGGGAGGCAGAGCTTGCAATGAGCCAAGATGTGCCACTGCACTCCAGCCTGGGGGACACAGCGAGACTCCGTCACAAAAAAAAAAAAAAAAAAAAAAAAAAAAAAAAATCAACATAAAATTGTATATTGCAGGACTTCTCAGAACCTTTAATGTGTTGAGAAGAACTTGATCTTTGGCAACAGATGTAGCTGTGTTTGACTGCCCCCAGCCTCCAACCCAACTTGGGTTCCATCTCTGAGTCCTTTTTTGCTGTTTGATTAACTACAAAGTACCTCCTACCTCTGAGTTCAGGTCAGAATTTTTCCACTCCCTCCACTCTTTCCAAAACATTAAGATCCTCACCTTCCTTCTCCTCGTATGATCACCCTCCCCTCAACCTGCATCCAGCCTACCTCCTCCGAAGACCGCAGATTGCTCATTTCTCCTTTGGTTGTGAGCCCCAGCTCTCAGCACCCTTGTCTGATCCTGGAGGTCAAGACAAGATAGGTTAAAGGTTTCTAAAGGGAGGTCGAAGGGCTCAGGGGACAAACTCTTATGCATCTGGATTTTTGAGACCAAATAGCACTCCAGTGTTGGAGATATCGTCTATGGACAGATCTGGGCAATAGATGATAATCCATGAAGTAGTAATATATCGCCCCTAGAACGACAATTTCATGGTGTCTTTCATTTCTGGATGTCTTCTTCAGGACTGCTGGGCCTACCCCACAATCCCACCCCCCGAACCCACCAGAAAACTTCCTATGTCTCCCTTGGGTCATTCACCAGCTTGTGATGGACCGAACTTCCCCCTGAAATCACTGGAATGAGGAGCAGGGCAAGTGGCCCGTGTGTTTCCCTCTTCTACCCAGGAGATGACGGGCTGGGGAAGCCATCTCAAGGAGATGCCTTGGAGGAGCATTTAAAAGGAGAATGTCATCAAAGTGGGGAATGCAACTTTGATATTATCTCACTGGGTCTCCAATATGAAGGGGTCAGTCCACCTCCCTCGCTCTTCCTTGAGTCTGAATGTCTGTCCCCATTCTCTATTCTCATCTCCGAGTCCTGTTCTGTTCTCTGGCTGCACAGACAGACTTTTGTCATACTCTTGGCATTTCCCCATCTCTTTGCCTTTTCCTACACTTTCTCCTCAGTAGGGAATGCTTTTTTTGTCTTTTCTTTCTTTCTTTTTTTTTTTTTTTTGAGACAGAGTCTCTGTCACCCAGGCTGGAGTGTAGTGGCATGATCTCGGCTCACTGCAATCTCTGCCTCCAGGGTTCAAGCAATTCTCCTACCTCAGCCTCCTGAGTAGCTGGGACTACAGGCACGCACCACCACGCCTGGCTAATTTTTTTTTTTTTTTTTTTTTTTTTGAGACAGAGTCTTGCTCTGCCGCCCAGGCTGGAGTGCAGTGGTGCCATCTCAGCTCACTGCAAGCTCCACCTCCCAGGTTCACGCCATTCTCCTGCCTCAGCCTCCCGAGTCACTGGGACTACAGGCGCCTGTCACCACGCCCGGCTATTTTTTTTTTTTTGTATTTTTAGTAGAGACGGGGTTTCACCATGTTATGCCTGGCTAATTTTTTGTGTTTTAGTAGAGATGGGTTTCACTGTGTTAGCCAGCATGATCTTGATATCCTGACCTCGTGATCTGCCCACTTCAGCCTCCCAAAGTGCTGGGATTACAGGCGTGAGCCACCGCACCCGGCCGGGAATGCTTTTTTTTTTTTCCTATCAAGATCCTTCTTTGACAATTTGGGTGGCATAATATCTGCTATGCCTTCCCCCATCACCCATCCACTCATCTATCTTTTTATCCATCTGTCTATCCAGTCACCCATCAATTCATTCATCTATCCATCTACCATCTGTCCATTAATTCATCCTCTATCCATCCATTCACCCACTCACCCAGCCATCTATTCAACCATCTGTCCATCTACTTACCTATTAATCAGTCATCCCATCCACCCATCCTTCCATCCGCACATCTATCTAGTCATCCATCAATCCAATGTTACATCCATCAATTTATTCATCAACCCATCCACCAGTTTATCTTTCCACTTACCTATCTATCCACTCATCCATCCATCCATCCACCCACTCACACATCTATTCATCCATCTGTCCATCTACCCGTCTATTAATCAGTTATCCATCTACCCATTCATTCTTCCATCAACCCATATATCTACCATCCATCTATCCATCTATCTGTCCATCCACTTACCCATCCAACCACCCACTCATTCATCCATCCATCCATCCATCCATCCATACATACATACATACATACATACATAATCTCTCTCTGTCTTCAGTCCCTCCATCTATTCTATCTTCCACCCATCCCATCCATTCACTTATCCATCCACCCATCCAATCATTCATTCATCCATCCATCCATTTATCCATTATCTCTCTTTCTTCCATCCCTCCATCTATTCTATCTTCCACCCATCCCTCCATCTAGCCCTCCCTTTATCCATTCCTTCATCCATAATCTCTTATCTTCCATCTATCCATCACCTGTTTACTTACCCATCCACCCACCCACCACTCCATCCATCCATCCCATTCCATCCATCCATCATCCACCCACCCAACCACCCACCACCCACCTACCCAGCAAATATTTTCTGGGTATCTATTATGTGTTATGCACTTAGAATCCATTAAGTAAGACAGACATGCTCCCCGACCTTCTGTCCTTCTAGTCTGTGACAGAAATGAGTATTAAATATCTCTGTCACACACACAGAGCAAGTGCTGTGACGAAAGAGGAACCAAAGATTGTGAGGGAGGAAGTGGAAGAAGCATAGCCCTGGAGCCAGACAAATCAGAACCAAATCCCGCCTCAGTCCCTTCCCAGCTGTGTGCCCTTCGGCATCTCACTCTCCTCTCTGAGACTCGATTTTCCCATCCGCAAAGGACCTGGGGAGAGCTCCAGGTGCGTAACAGCAGTGGCAACCCAGGTAAATTTTATGATCCCTCTTGACCTCCTGGAACTTTCCTCTTCCTTCTCTGTACTCTCCCAGCTCTGCTTGTTCCTACTTGAATTACAGCAGTGTTTTTGGTTCTTACTCTCATGGCTGAACTGGCAGCTCAGCTTTCAGGACTGAAAGCCCGACTTCATTGATCTGTCTCCATCACGGCTAAACAGTGCGGCAGGAGCACAGAGGTGGTATTGGAGAGAATTTGCTGAGTAAACAAGAAGAAAGAGATGAACAGATGAAGAAAGAGTGGATGGATGGAAATTCTTCCGTTCTGCCAAAACTGGCCAGAGTGTTAATTCATGAAGGGAGAGGGAGCGTATGTGTGTATGTGTATGTATGTGTGTGTGTGAGGGAGAGAGAGAGAGAGCGAGAGAGATTGAGAGAGAGAGAGAGAGAGCGAGAGAGAGAGGCTAATGTCCACCAAATCACTTACCAACTCTAGAGGCAGCTGTTCCTCAAGGCCAAGTTCAAGCTTGCTACTCTGCTAGTTGCCAGTACAGAGCTGGGCACCGAGGAGGAGTCAGGCCCACGTGCTAATCTTGGAGAAGGGGCTGACAGTGTGGAATCTCCTGGGGTTTCTCCTGAGAGGCCTGGTCTATGAATTGGGTGGCACAATCATCTGGCCCTTTATTGCCAGTGAGTTTTCTATCACCCAAGAAACCTCAGGACACACCCTTGGCACAGCTGTGGTGTGGAAATGGAGCCACCGCCAATGGGATGAGTGATCACAAGGCTGAGTGGACTCCCTCTGGCAAAGGTGGCCTAGGCAGAGCGTCTAAATTATCCAGAGGTCTGTGCCAGCCCAACCGCAACCTCTCCCAACCCCCATCTCATAGCCAGCTCATCTGGTTATTATCGTCATCACTGTGCCTAGTTTATTCATTTCACCTTCCACTGTGTAGATAACACC